AGTAGGAGAGAGGAAGGAGAAGAGAGAGAAGAGAGTGGGTCGGGGGGGGAGGGAGGAAGAGGAAGAGGAAGAGGAAGAAGAAGAAGAAGAAGAAGAAGAAGGAGAAGAAGTAAAAAGGAAGGGAACACGGACGGGGAAGAAAGTCCGAGAGTAATGGGAGGACGGTGGAAGCGAAAGGGGAGGTGAGACAAGAAGAAAGTAGGATGACGGAGAAGGATGAGCAGCGACAGAGCAAGCAGAACGAGAGCACGCACGAGAGAGAGCGTGTGGAAGAGAGCAGAAGCCGGACGGGAGGTCCCGGTGGAGGTCCGGTAGAGGAACGGTAGAGCACTACAGGTGCAAAACACGGGCTTTCAGACGGAGCATTGAGTTAACCCAATGCAGAAGAACAGACAGGGACCCTGAAATCGGATCCGAGGGGGAAGTTCTTGGAATTGTCTTCAGGGGGGGAAAATGCAATGAGTCCAAGACCAGAAAAACAAAACACGCAAGAAAGTGAGAGAGGACAGACAATCTTACAGAGTACAGTAGAATCAAAACTCTGCGGGCAGAAAAGATACAATACGGTATGGTACTAGGTAATTGAAGCTGACACCGCCCCCGAAAGGGTCCATCCGCTGCCCCAACAATTCCAATGCTTCCGAGCTAGTTTATGATGAATGGAGTTATGAATGGAAAACTACCTAAGACTAGGTAACTAACTTTAGGTTGTTAAGAAGTCGTGCACTACATCTTCCCCTATGGCCTACATCCACCCAGACAAGAGCCATTGGTTCCATGTTTCCGGTTGGAGGTGGGGGATAATGTAGATACGTACGGAGTAGTAGTGAGTAGTAGTAACTTACTTGTTTGTTGTCTGGATAAAATGATGTTATCATCTCCAGAACTTTTCCCAAAATATCCCCCAAGCCACACTAACCTTGTTAAGTTTAGCTCGGTCGCCTATACTTCTCTCCTCGCAAAGTAACCCATCTTTCAGTTGACCCTCATCCTTGATCCCTTTGCCTATTGCCCACTTGTAGAATACATCTTGGAATAGAAAAAATCACTAGGGCTTCAAAGAGAGCATCGTATATGTGAGTTCATACAACGTGACCCTGGAGGCTAATCAGATCGCGTAGAACCGAAGCCATCCAGCCACGGATCATGCATCTATCATGCCTGGCCGAGTCTACTCTAAGTCTAAATGCCTACAAAGGCCTTACCCTTTCAGTATCAGTATCTACAACTTACGTATCACACGCTAAGAGCCAACGGTGTCTATATGCATACCAGATGAGAAAGGACATCAGATACATGGCCGTATCCATCCCATTCCAGAAACTCCGCTGCTGAAGGAAGCTGTCCACTCGACATGCCACACTATCACGGACAGGTCCGCAGGTCTTTCGCAGATGTCGTTTCCCCGCAGGACGCGTAACCGTTCCCTCATGTCCAGTCAACTACAACTGACCTTTCTTCCCGGTCTTAACGCCGGCTACGCGCCTTCCCGTCGACCCCGGGATGAAAAAGGACAGAGTCGTGGCTGCCACCGTTGCCGGGGAGGGAACGAAGATAGTGACATAGGAGTCGGGGAGCGAGTAGAGAAAATGAAACAAGTCGTTGTAGAAATATCAAAGGTTCATCAACACTGGGCGTTTTGTGCGGTATCGTGTGTGTCAAGGCATGAAACAGACGTGCTCTCGTGAGACCTGCCGCTCGCGGCTTCGAATGTGGAATAGAAAAGAAAAGCTGTAACGAGAAACCCCATCCCAATCCCGTGAACTCACCCCCGGCAAGACACAATAATGATGTGACGGGGGTGCTCGACAGTCGCAATTCCCCGCTTGTTTCATTCCGTCCACAACCGTTGAACCAGTCAATGCCAGGAAGCTGGATGGATGTAGAGAGAGTAGGTGTAAATTCGGAAGAGAAATAACATGGCGCTTCGGATAACATGTGGAGAACAGAGCAATAAGGGGGAAGAATAGCGACACTGTCAAAGAATCACACGACGATCAGGAAACCCAAAAGAAAAAGAAAAGGACATCAACAGTGGAAAAATGCAACAGATCCATTCCATCATGACTACACATTAGTAGGTTTCTGCGGCGTTCCATGGGCACTGGTGGAAGAGCTCTCCGCGGTGGTAGACGGCGACTGCGAGATGGTTGCAGATTCATCGGCCTTAGGGGTGCTATCCTTGGATTGTGGCCCAGGGGTTCCTTCGCGATCGCTCCGTCCCGCGTCAGTAGAGTCATGCTGCACCTGATTGCCGAGGTCCCGGTCCTCCTCAGTATGGTCAAACAGCTCGTCATCGTTCTGCTCCGGAATCAATTCTGTGCCATCGCCCAAGAGAATGATGCGGCCCGAGCGTACACTGAAGCCACGGGAACGATCATTTTCCACGTCATACTCATCGGGGTTCTCTTCGAACTGATTACGGATGCCGGGGCCGCGGAACTCAGCTGCTCCCCCCGGTAAGTCAGTAGGAGTTGGGATTGGAGGCCTCGGGATCCTCGAGAGACTTGCCGTACTCGGGCGGGGCGCAGGGGCCGTCGCCGTTGGCCACGCGCTCAGCGATCTGATTGTACCACTCCTCTTTGGTCCTACCGTTCAGAAGACCGATGATGATCATAGTCATGTTGTCGCATCCAACGCCACCCGTCTCACTGTTGGAAGCCAGGCAATTGTCCATCATGTTCTCACAGATGCGGTGGAGGTCCTGCTTGGCGGCAATACCGCGACGAACGAACTCAACGACGGCCTGCGAGGTTTGGCAATCCCAGATACCTGCATTGACATCAGCACCCACTGAGCTGAACCCTGACTGGACACGTGAAAGGGTAGACATACCGTCGCAAGCGATAACGAGGAATTCATCGTCGTCAGTAAGGTCGTGAACAGTAACATCCGGGTAAGCGGTCACGATCTGCTGTTCGGGTGACAGCTCGGGACTCTTCTTAAATTCGAAATCTCCAATGGCACGGGACAGGGCCAGGTTGCCGTTGACACGGCCAAAGTCGACGAAGCCGCCTGCAGCGCTAATACGGGCCTTCTCGCCTGTATTTCATGTTTCAGCATAACCCAATTCCAGCTCGAAGCGACCCAGTACCTCGTTACTGACCTTCATTTTGGGGCTTGTGATCAAAGGATAGGGGCTTCGCGCGGCCCTTCACACCGAGCACGGAACGGGAGTCACCAGCATTGGCCTACGCAGCGTTAAAATATCATTCCGATAGACAGCCAGCGCAGTTCCCAGACAATTCCATATACGTACCACCCAGATCTTGTGCTTGGAAATGACGCTGACGGCTGCAGTGCAGCCAGACACTTCTTCCTCGTATTTAGGATCTAGCCGAATCAGCCCACTGTTATCTCGGGAAGAAAGGCGTGGGGGACAAAGAGTCGCCCCGGTGCCCAAAGTCGAGGGTTCACGAACCTTCCAAGATAGCGCGGTCGGTCGCAAGAAAACCGTCCTTCAAGGCTTGCTCAATATCGCCCTTAGCGAACGCATCCTGCTTTGCGACGATCTTGTGGACATTCTCTCCGGCGAATAAAGCTACTTTATCACCACCGTGTCCATCGTATACACCAAAGAATGCGAGGCGTTTGTCGGGATCGGTAGGGTTGTCGTTCTGCTCCGAGAACCTGGCCTGGAGGTCTAGCACGGCCGCATGGGCATCCTCCATGCTGATCCGCCAGCCCTGCATGGCCGAGACACCGTATATACAACACTCATCCTGACCTTCAGCCGAAGTCTGGACAATGCTCCGTCATGTTAGCAAAGTAAACATGTTGAAAGTGCGAAAAGAAAATAGATATGACAGGTCACCCGCTCGGAAGCCGCCTGCAGGAATTTTCATCATCTTGTGGAGGGACCCCGCAGACGTGGGAAGATCACCACGCTGCAGCCCCTCCGACCACCAGAGGAAGTGATGGCACGCATTTTGAACAGGAATCCAGACAGTGGTACCGACAGAGTAACCCATACACAATGGGAGAGAAAGGGGGAGGAAATGGGTTGCGCGATGATAGGGGGGAGGCGGTTATAGAAATTGCGTAAGGCCTCTTGCAGTGTGGGGGGACGAAAGGCGAAGGCAAACGCATTGCTTCAGTTTCACGCACCTTTTCGACCACAGGCTCGGACAAGGTCTGACCCATGATATTTGACGGGAGATATTAATTAAGAGTTTGACGCGAGAAAATGTATGGTTTTTCACAAAGTGAGAGGGGAAGGAGGAGATGTGAGTAGTAGAAAGATTGAAGACAGGAAGGGGAAAAGTTTAACACACACGGAGAGAGAGTATCTGAGGGGGAAATGAGAAGAGCCAGTGACTGAACGTCAGGTGGGAAGGGGAAGGGAGAAAGACGGAGGAGAGAGAGACTAGACTCAGAGCGGGAGGAGGGGGAGTGAGAGGGTAGGTAAGAGAGAGAGGGGAGGGTAACGGGCAGAATCACTACTATTAACGGAGGCGGCGTGACGGAAAGAAAGAAAAGCTGCCTACTGTTAAGGCGAGCAGCCTAAGGCCTGTACAGAGAGGTGTAGGGTATTTAGGTAACTACTGCTTACGGTAGTTAGGTAGTGACTGGGGGACTGAAGGACTAAGTTACTGTAGCCTGCCTGTAGGTGAAGTGAGCAGCCGCAGTCATTCATTATTCAAAAGACAATACCGGGGAGTGGGGAACCCGATTCAACGATGACGATACTTTGTCCACCGTGCTGGAAGATTGGCTGATCCCCTCCGATCCTGTCCAAGATCTGTCACCGTGTTCATTAACCACGGCTGACGAGTGCCACGCGGAATCATATGGAATTATGACAGAAGTGGCAGAGATAGCAGAAAAGGGGCGAAGAGAAAGAAAAATTGGGATGAATCGCAGTCCAAGAGAAAAATGATGATGGCGATGGTGTCACAGGCCCGGGGATGAGTTTTTTTGGCGTTATGATACTCTGCACGGAGTAAGTTAATCATTATTGATGCTCTACAGAACACAAGGGCATCGGCAGCACTCGTTGCAGCTGGCTGGCTACCTGCAGGTAGATCAATAGGCAACCCACAGGAGGTTTCAAAACACATTAACCTCGATTACAATAGTGAAATAAAACCCAGTACACCTCGCGCACTATGTCCTGAAGGTACTATTGTTCGCTGTTCTGGGTGGACCGCCTTCCTGTCGCGTGCCTCCAACCACAGGAAGTGCCGGAAACAGCCTGACCCAACCCACTCAACACGCATTATTATTGTGGACTCGTGGAGTGCCACAGAAGAAGCCGAGCTCTATTTAAATCCTTCCGCTTCGTACATACTGTACATACTCATACATACATCAAGCATAATGCTAGGGTCTGTGGCTGCTATCCGAAGTGAGAGACCGCCATTCATGCCAAGTCTCTGGCATTGAACCGGTATGGTCAATCTGACCTTGCAAACGAGCGTGCTCTAGCCATGTCTATCCTTCCTATACCTACACGAAGCTGTGTTTCAGTAGGAGGTATTCGCAACCAATGTCTCAGACCGAACTTGATACATCAATGCCCATCAAATCTTGCTTTGAATTAGGTGATTGCTACCTACGGTACTCCGTAAACAAGTCGGAAGTAGGTAGTGGGACGAGGCGTTTGGAACTGGCTGCTAATGTCAGTCCTCGCAAGGGCTCTTCCTCGCAAGGGCTCTCGGCATTACCTTGCTCAACGCCTGTAACGCATTCAGTTGTACCTTTGTATTGCTCGAGTTGAACAGAGTACTGTACCTACTTTACCACAGTACAGTACCCTGAAGCGCTCTTGCTGTTTTCGGCAATTGCCTTTATACCTGCCTCAGGCAGGAAGCATCATGTACCATTACCTAGTACCTACCTGTGGTAGTCCCGACTACCTTACTTCTAGTCAGAGCCGCGCCTTCTCCAACACTTCGCGGGCTAAGACCTGCCTTTCTACCCACAATCTTGGACTAAAGCCCATCAGTCATTATGAGATGAGCACACAAGCACATGCATGCAGCCCTTACTGTCCACCAAGGGAGAAGCTGCCATCGAAAGTGAAGGCGCTTGATTTGAAGAGAAGTCATCGCCATTGGATACAGCCCGTTGGGGAGCAATGCAGTCTGTGATTCACTTAGAGGGGCCACTCTTGTCACTGGACAGCAACGAAGGCAAGCAGTGGGGGACTGGACTCTCTGCATCATGCGCAAGCATTAAATGAAGTATAACCAAGATTCTAGTGAGCTGAAGTACGAATGAAAAAGACTGCTAACCCGGCCAGCAGGTACAGACCAGTCGCAACCATCCATGGCAAACCCATCCAAGCGCCCTCCCACGCCATTCCTGCTTTGAGAAGAGCTGCCAAAAGCGGTCCAGCTATCATAGACCCCATGGCCTCAGCCAGTGCGATTGTTGTGTTGAAGAGCCCGACATGGGTTTCTGCCACCAAGGCGCTTCCAACACTACGAAGTGTCGTGTAGAAACCCCACCCGAGGGCCGAGAAAGACAAACCTATGCCGAAAAGGGCTGGATGAGCAGCTACCGACATGATACCGAATCCTGCCACTAATACACAGATACTGGCGTGTGTGATTCGGAGATCTCTCTTTATTGGAGAGAGATAACCTCCAAGTATCTTGGAGATCAGAGGCAATATGATAATGAAGGCGACAAGGTTGACTACGCCTTTGAGGCTGATGAGGAATGTAGCCTATCCAGTTCCTTCTGTTAGTGACTTCCAAGTTGGTGGCTCGAACTGGGAATACATACCTCGGCCACACTCCACATGAAACGCTTGGAGGCATACTGCAGCACAAGCTGAATCGCCTGGCTTCCAATGCTAGATGTCAAGAAAGCGAAAAAGATCGCCAACGTGTTGGCGTTGCCCAGGACAAACTCAACCACTTCGACCAATTGAGATCGGATCAAGTGCACAATGGCCGTCCATCTCATGGTAGGATGCTCGTTGACTTGTCCTTGTGCTTCGCTCTCAGTATCTTCGTCCGATCTGATGGATGCTTTCGGTCCAGTTTCTGGTAAGGCGAAAATAGGGATGATCCCGCACACCTCAATCGCTAATCCTAACAACGATGGCATCCACACATCTTTGGACATCAACCAAGCGCTGAGAGGGGCTGCGAGGATCTGGGAAAGCAACATTGCTGCAGCCATCAGAAGATACGCATTTGCCCTGAGAGTGCGTCGCGTTTCAGCGGATTGAACAGCAGAAAACCGGGAATATCATGATTACCTTTGGTCAACTGGGAAGACGTCTGCAATGACGGTCCAGGCAACGGAGCTAGCGATTTGGCTACCACCCCCAAATACCTGGAACAGTGGTGCAAACCACACTGCTTCAAGTGGGATGCTTGTATGATACCAGCCTGAGAAGCACGTCAGCCAGTACTTCCTTTCCTCCGACTTCCAAATCACCCACAGATGAAACGAATAGCGCATTCCTGCATGAGGAAACCCGCAAGGCTGATGATGATGACAGGTTTGCGTCCGACTTTATCTGCCATGAGACCAAATGGGATAGCTAGGATCATTCCAGGAAGCTGAGCGAAGGTATCCTGCCAGCCTACCAGCAGAGCGAGCTTGCCTTGCACGTCAGTTGACTTGCAGAGCGGACGGGTGGTTGCTGTTAGTCCACCGAAAGCACTGGCGAATAATTCGGGATGCATGCGCTGGCAGATAATGTTCTCATATATCTGCAGCTGCGGCGCGACAGCAAGATAAACGCCAAAGTCCAGAGTGACGATGATGAGGCACACAAATAGGAGAATCCATTTCGATCTTCTAGGCGTGCTTTTATTTTGAGATGACTGTTCACGAAGGCCTGGTAAGAGTAAACTCGTCTCCAGTGTCTCATCTGCGCCGAGTAAATCGGTTGTCATCTTGAAAGAGAAGATGGACAGCCCCAACTGATTCGGAAACCACAGATAATTGAGCACACACACTCCGGAGCACCCTCAGGGAGGAGAGGAGTGAGAGTGGGTTGGGCGAGAGGCGATCTCTTCATCTCACTCAGCGTAATCAGAGAGGTGCGATTGCGAGCTATTTAGCTGCATGGCAAAGCAGTGCGCTAAGCTGGATGCGTGTCTGCTTTGATATAGGTCGAGTGTCTTATCTGCTTATCGGTTCCAGAAAAGTCGACAGCGACAATAGACCGACCATCGAAAATGAGATGGATTGATTACGCATTTTACATTGTGGATGAGGGGTGAGAGCTTATAGGCTCATGGATCTGACACTGACGCGCTACGCTAAGACCCAGCCCAGTCCCGCTGGTCGAACCGCATAGTACCTTGGATTGATACGTGGTTGCCTGTTGTTTCAACACATTAATTATCATTGAGTTCTCGAGATTTGCCCTATCATACTAGGGTGATCATGGACAAAGGAAAGCATTAAACTAATCATGGTACAAAATATGCACGGTGGATATCATGCTCGCCGGATACTCGTCGACGACAAAACAAACCCTAATACAAAACATTGGCAGCGATAATATTGTAACAACAACAGCATGAAAGACAAATGGGTATGTATACTTTCGCCTTAATCATACAAATGCAATATCACTTCTCACACTTCCCGTCAGCTCTCTTTGCATACCTCTCTGCTCACTCCAGTCTCGGTCCGCCGATCGAATCAAGCTCACTCGGCGCGATCGAACCTCGTATGGCATGGAAGAATAAGAGGGGCTCTTGCGCAATGGTGGCAACGGCGGAGGATCCGTTCTAGGGGCTTCACCCGGCGCGTTTGACGCGACCTGGAACCAACTCCGATTGTTCCCAAGGGATTGACGCGCATTGTTCTGTGGGTAATTTGATCCGGGGTACGCCGCACTACCGCCGGCTTCGCCTCGCTGAGCACTGCTTAAGCTTAACTCACTGTAAAAGCGGGGTAGCGGAGCAATCGCCTCAGAATAATTCTGGGCGAGACTCGATTGACTGGGCTGCTTGTTGATCGGTCCCGACATCGGCGCGTCCGACGATTCCTCCGATAGCGAATGGAGGTAAGCCGACTGGCGGTGGTCATCGGTATAGATGGAGGCTGACATCGCCGCCGACCAGGGGCGGTCCTGCCGGTAATCCTCGATATAATGGGAGCTAGCGACTGTATCTGCTCGACTCACGGTGCTGCGCGCTCGATGGAGAGCGCGGCCACCGGATGAGCCACGACGAGCGAATTGGCCAGCAAACAGAGGATTTGAAGAGTTTCGGCTCTTTGCACGGCTGTGCACGAAAGCTTCAAGGGAATCCGTATCGGAGATGGTCAGCGTGTCCGGCTCGACAGCTCGAAGGCTCACGCGCTTAGGATATTCCGTGCTTTCCCGTGCGCGGAGGGGCGGGCGGGGGAATAATGGCGCCAGATTCCCCACATCGCTCTCGTCGCTCTGGAATGAGGCCTGTGTGTTCTGCCAGGAGACACGAACAACCCCATGCCCCGGCGGCCCAAATCCACCGGCCCCATGGCCAGCGCCACTGAGCCTGACAGGCAGCCCTGAAGCAACTGTGGAGATGCCGCTGGAGCGCTTTGAATACCTCTTCGACCGCGATACTGTCGAGTTCCGCTTGAGTGACCTCCTCGGCTGAATCGGCCGAAGTGGCTCACGCTTCTTTGATGTAGTCGTAGTGCGCCTGCGCACGGGAGGACTGCTCTGGAATGACAAGCGCTTTGATTGCGAAGGTGGATCCGCTACTGGTTTCGTCTCTTCCGGCTCCTTCGTGGTCGCCAGTGGACCGAAGTCCCAGTCCAGGGTTGAGTGGGGATAGGCGTTCTCCTTGTCATCTGTGTAGTTGATGGTATCTGCATCGGCCAAGGGCTTCGTGTGCCAGAAAATCTCGAGCTTTGGGGGCCTGGACGATGGCGACGGGCTTCTGAGCATCCTTGGCGGCTTGCCTGGGGTGGTCTGCTCAAAAGGCTGGCAGTGAGGGTACATGTCAGAATCGGGATCGGGGGGCAGAGATCCCCTCTTTTCGTCTGCCAGTCCTTCCTCCGGTCCTGGAGCGACATCTTTCTTCTTGTGACGCCAACAGAAGAATAGAAGTACAAGGGCGCTGAGAACAATGAGCGGAATAATGACTGAGATCGCAATGATGCCGGCCTTTTTGCTGCTGTTGTCGCCACTACCGCTGCCGTCGTCAGCTGTGGCGATAGTAGCTGCGTCCTCGTCGTTCTTCTTCTTCGAGACTGTTTTGATTGTGAATTGCCGTGTATCCTCCGCAGTCTCCTCGCGAGCCGTCAGGTTGAGGTTGAAAGTTCCCGGAGTGAAATCGGAAGGCACCTGACCATAGATGGTCTTGTTGTCGCGGTTGTAGTGAAGCCAGGGGAGCTGATCACCTATTTCAACGTCCAATTGGACAGAGTCATCGGTAAGAATTGAGCTGTTGAAGACGAACATGAAGAATTGCCCGATGACAGCGTCGCATTCGTCCAAATCATCGTGAAAGAATTGAGAGAATTGCAGGCTGACAAGTAGTGCGGCCACATCCTGAAATTTATCAGTTACAGTGATGGTGACATTCTGGTCTGCAGCGTCTGCTGGAGGTGTACCGCTTAGCGAGAGCGATTCCTTGTCCAATTCCAACCATGCCGGAGAATCCACATGAATATTTGCCAAATCAGTGCGCGTCACCCCGTGACCATCCAGACTCAAATCATCCAGGAAGTTAGGACTGTTGAATTGTTTCCCTTTGGTGACAAAGAGGGTCTGTGCACTTCGGTTGAAAGACAAAATGTGTGGGCTAACAGTCATCGCAAATGTCATGGTAGCAGCGCTGAATCCGGCTACATCCGAAGCGATCAGGTTAAAGCTGAATGTCTGAGGTCCGATATCCGGAGTAGACCCAGAGAATCGCAGGCCTGCCTGGTCGAATGAGACCCACGATGGCAGCGGCGCATTGTCAGGGGAAGTTCCGTAGTAGACAGTGGAGGGACGCGTGTTGGCGAACGTATCACGATCGAAGGATATGGAAAAAGAATCGCCAGAGTGTACCACAATCGTGTCTGGAGCCGATGTGGCGCCTATCGTTTCAAGTTGTGGTAGCAATGGTTTCCCCAACTTTGGCCCATCATCGGTTGTGACTACCAAGTTGACCTCCATGTTCACGGATCCCGTCTCATCGGAAGCCACCAATTCAAACTTTGGCGATCCGATATCATCTTTCTGGGGCGTTCCGGATATCGTACGGTGCTTTGCATCTAGTTCAAGCCATGATGGGGCGTTAAGAAGCGTATATTGAGTGTCGGGCCCGCTGCCAGCAAACGTGCCTTGGGAGAAGACAAATTCGAATGGTTCTGAGACTCGGGCTACTGGAGGCAGCTGTGCGTTCACAGGGTACGTCGGCGCGAGGCCTGCAATTACCGTCCCCAAGATGCTGAGGAGACCCAACGCGATGAGCGCCATCTCTCCAGAGCAGTGAGAACGGTCGGGACGAGTGAGTGTCTTCGGTCAGATACACGAGAGGCAACTCGCACTGTCGCTCTGAAAAGTAACCCGACGCCAACCTTAGGAAGAAGCCGCAGTGAAATGGTCGAGAGTTGAGGGTTGGAAGTGAGAAACGAGGAATTGCTCTGCCCTTAGGGCAGAGACTCTAGTTTCTTCCATCATGGCATTCGCGCCCAAGGGCCCAACGGGCACAGGAGAGGCGCGAAGCTTGCATCCCCTTCGAAAAGAGCCATGCCTGGATATGCTTGACGTCACTTGGGTATGGGAATGGTCAGAGATTGATGGTTCGCGGCGCGATAATTCTCACTGTGAAATGTAGGCCTCGCTCCCTCTGCAAGGGATGGCGTCGTCGGGAAGCCAAGGAGCGAGCCACCCTCCAACCACCGCCTGAGCCGTCAACACCCTGATCCGGAGAATTGCAAAAATTTGACAGATGGCCTGAAGGACTCAATTGGCGCTTGTGCCTTTTGGTCTTGTCGTGAGTAAATAACCTTATCCAGGGGACATACTCATGTACAAGCGATGCCGCAGGAGTGACAGGGATAGCAACAACAGTCAAGGTCTCAAGGGCTATTTGACTACAAATCCAGGATCATTCTAATGCCAGTCCGGCCTGGTCCGTAGTAATCTGAGATTTCCTCGCGCTCTGCATATCCACTGCGGGCATACAAAGTCCTAGCTGGGGCTCTGTCCTTGTCCACCCATAACTGGATATACTGACAACCCTCCCTTTGCAGACGAGTGCGAACGTAGGCCATTAGCTGGAACCCCACGCCCCGACGGCGATAAGTCTCGGCTACACAGACTTTATGGAGCAGGGCAATGCCTTTCTGGCGAACGTAGACCGCATAAGCCAGAACCAGCGGGGAATTTGCGCCTGGGAGGTGCGCATACAGCACCCTCGTGTTAGGCTTCTTGCGCCAGAGCTCCTCTCCAAAGGTCATGCCCTCATTGGCAGGGAAACTCTTTTTCTCGACACGTGCGATCTGGGCAAGAATGTTCAGGGCTTGGTTCCTGTTCAGGGAGTGGATGTCTGAGAAGATCAGATCGGTCGACATTCTTGAAAGTGTAAGAGTACATTCAGGGCTGGTTTGAAACGATCCCGAAAGTGACAGGGCAAGCCAGCCGCAGGAGGGCTGACAATGAAGGAACCGAAGGAACCGCAGGGCAAGGAGTTTGAAGGATAAGAGGATGTCCTCAAGAATGAGAACCGAAGGGAGGGAGGGGTTATCGTGAAGAGCTTGTAGTCTGTCCGTCTCTCTTCTCCAACGCGTTTCAAATTTGACTTGTTGTTCTTAGCATGTAGTTGTAGTAAGTAGCTTACCAAAACATAGCCTAACATGCAGAGCCTGAGCGGTGGTAATTTAGTGTCTAAATCGGGCAACAAATTGGTTCCAGGTTTACCATACGGTACCGCAACACTCTTCTCATGCGGATCTTGAGCTCCAACGATCCCTTCCTTTTCTCCAGGTACAGTACATGATAGAATATCAAACATTCTCCATCGCGTTTCACCTCTCTCTCTCTCTCTCCCTCTCATTGCCATCCCCTCCCATCATCCGATTTATACAACCCCAACGCGCAGCACAACAACCAATTCCCCACACAGCAACAAAAAGAAACCATGCCCCCCACCCAAGCCGACGACAAACGCCAAGCAGCCCGCGAAGTCATCGACATTCTTCATGAAATTTCCACCCTCCTAGTAAGCAAACCAGCCAGCCCGGGTCTCTCCCTCCCTCCCTTGCCATTCTTGTGTATGGCCGACCAGACCAGAATTACCTGGTGACTCCAAACCACCGCCGAGCTTGCACCTGCCTGCGCGGCTGGGGTTGGTGATACGCGTTGGTTCTGGGCGGTATACTCCGCCTTATTTTGATGTCGACATCCCTACTCTCCTCTCCGTCATCATGCTTAATGGCCGGGATGGATTGGAACTAATCATCATATGTAATGTACAGAACACCCATCTGGACCGCACGGAGCTCTCGCTTTGTGTCTCGCTTATTGAGAATGGGGTCAATCCGGAGGCTTTGGCGGTAGGTTTTTTCTGAGTTTCTCGTTGCGTTTTTGGGGGGGCTTATGGGAAGGACGTTGTTCTGTCTGGATGCTGACTTGGTAATCTTAGGCTGTGATCAAGGATCTGAGGAAGGAGACTGGGTCTGGGGGTAGGGGGTTTGGTGAGCAGCAGCAGCAGCAGTACGAGTGAGTGGGTGGGTGAATAAGTGAGTGAGTTGTTGAGGGCGGTGGTGGGGGTTGAGGATGCAGGCCTCTTGAGGGTCTGGGTGAGATTTACCGTCGGTTTATTGCTTGCATGTTTGGATTTTGATTTAAAGATACCCTTGATTTATTCTATTCATTTACTGAGATTTGAGGTGATGCATTGATATCGTTTTTGCATGGGGTTTGAGATTATACGTTGCTTGTTTATGGGAGTGGGTATCTGGGGCCTTTGCTGAGACCTTAGAACTTGACTCGGGCAAACGCGTTTTAACTGATTCATTTAAATGCAGTCTCTTGGTATCATGGGTTCGGGCCGCAAGGGCAAATAACACGATTTGTGTAGAACAGATCAAGGTTACAACAACTGAATAGGCAGGCCACTGAATAAGCCGTGGAGGTAAGCTAGCGGATGGAAGAAGGCCCCGGCCAAAACTATGACTTTCCAGCGCCGGTTGTGCTCTCCTTGGACGCTGCTTCCGCTACCGTCTCGACCGTCGCAGCTTTGGAAGCGCCCTCGCCGGTGGCGAGTTCCTTCACCTTCGTGGTGGTGTCCTTCTCATCTTCGCTATCCCCAAGACTGAACGGGTCGTGTTCTCCTACCGGGGACGGTTCCACGGCAGCTAAAGGTTGCCATTTGCTGGACTTGCCTGTTGTCGCGGGCGAGGCGCGCCGGACCGGTTCGGATGCATCGTACAGTGAGTCAATCTCCGTTGGGGGCCCGTCCTGGAAGGCAACCTTGCGTCTGTCGGGGGAGGGTGACGAGGTCTTGTACAAGTTAGGATTTGCGAGAGGGCGGGGAGGACGCGCGGGAGGAGCTGCGCGAGATTCGTCAGTGACGCTACATCGTCATGAAATCATTCAATCCACTTACCCTCGGAGTCCCTCAATTCCAGCGCTGAGAAGTCGTCGCTCAAGACTCGGTGGTCGGCGTCGTACCGCTCACGGTCCCCGCTGCGACGACCCATGTCGCCGCTGCGACGCGGACGGCCGAAGGGATCTTCGCGCGGGCCCTGAGCAGCCTGACTGCTGGTGTCTTCTTCCGGCTCTTCTCCATCCAGCCTCTTCTTGAGATTCGTCACCCACGAGTTCACCTTGGACTGGGTTTCCAGGAATCCTTTGCGGATGTTCTCGCGGATGACGGGCAGGTCGTCTGTGGTGGTCACACGGGTCAGCAAGCTCGGACGTGCACATCAGGGCTGAATAGAAACCAACCATCGAAGAAGCTGTATTCTTTCTCCTCCTCTTCCTCGCTTCCTCGTCGCCGCTGGTATGCGCGATCGTCCTCATACCGAGGCTGCGGGGCCGCGCGGCGGTTGTAGTGTTCGGCAAGCTGGCGGGCATACATCTCATCCTGCTCGAGCTGTCTCTGGGCGGCCGACGGACGGGGAGGCTTCGGAGGGGGCACGTCTTGTTCGGCGGCATTGGGATCGGTCATGCCTGGGGAGTAGACAAGAGGTGAGTCGGGACGAAGAGGCAGCACTTGTGGCTGGGGACTACAGACCTAATAGAGCATGAAAGGCCCGCTCCACATCCCAGTTGCTTGCAGTCAGCACTGCTCTTACAACTCCGATGTCGATCGTGGGGAATGCTTCTTTGAGGGTATGCTCGGCCTGCTGCCGGGGGCTCACGGGGCGGGGTGGCTTTGGCGGGGCAGCTTCCGCGGCGGGCGGCTGAGCTGGGGGAGCGGAGGGGAAAGCTGAGGTGACGCCGGTCTCCTGGGCTTCATCGTCGAAGTCCAGAGGACGCGCCGTGGTGGGTGACTCTGGTTTCGGACTGGCTGGCACTGCAGAGAGTCTGTTGGCCGTCTGGGGTTACCATGGAGTTAGTAGTTGCAGTTGGACCGGGGCTGCGGAATCTAGAACATACGTTCTTGTCTTCTTCCGACATGATGAATTAGATGGGTTGGGGAATGTGAAGGAGGTGTAGAATATGTGTGTAGAGGGTCGAAATTTAGGCACACAGCCCTGAGACTAAGGTTGGCGGTTCCTGGGGATTTATTTGATTGCGTGGACGTGGAGGAGGGAATTCGCCCAACAGGCAGAAAGTATACCAATGATTGATGATTGATTGACTCTCTCCGCCCGCCCCCTTTCCTCTTTCCTTTCCGATTGTCCCTGGTGACGTTGCATCACGTGCCGAGCGTGCTTAGCTGACATAATCCAATAGTGCCTTTCCATCCTGATTGAGCATAACTCATAACTTACATACTTGGGTTGATATTCGTGAGATCGTTCGCATTGCTCGTCTTGAATGGAGCTGGAGAGGTAGCAACCTCCGAATTCCCTGAAACTTCTGTATTCCTGGCGTCGTTCAATATGTCTCAGTTGGGCCAGTCACTTATCATCGGATCTTATTGTGGCTAAAAATAAAGCCTTTCAGCTAGTCAGGTTAGACTAGGCTGATCATCGATTGATTCCAGAAGTATTCTTCAGCATGGCTTCGGAACTTGAACTCGGTTCCTCTTTCATACCTGCCTTGTATAAGCCTTGCTCGCTGCTTCCCATTGCAAGACATAAGCAAAGTCTACTCTATCTGGTCGAAACCTACCCCGTCACCATTGTCGTGGGCCAGACTGGAAGCGGAAAGACGACCCAGTTACCCCAATATCTCGAACAAGCAGGATGGTGTGCAGATGGGAAAGCGATTGCTATCACACAGGTAACATTACTTCCGTCCTTTTCGTTCGGCCGTTGACCAGCCAAGCTAACAAGGTTGCAGCCGCGTCGGGTGGCTGCCACAACTGTGGCCGCCAGAGTTGCCGAAGAAATGCGATGCAAGCTAGGCGAGGAGGTGGGCTACTCAATCCGCTTTGAGGACCTGACGTCTGCTTCCACGAGGATCAAGTTCCTAACCGACGGGATGCTACTCAGGGAGGCACTCGTTGACCCCCTGCTGTCGCGGTATTCGGTGATCATGGTCGACGAAGCCCATGAGCGGTCCCTCAGCACTGATGTACTTCTGGGTGTTCTGAAGAAGATCATGAAGAAACGTCCGGAGCTGAGGATTGTCGTCAGTAGTGCAACTCTGCAGGCCGAAGACTTTCTACGCTTCTTTGCTGCGGAAGAGTTCGACAACGATGCCGAATCGGGCGAGATCGGTGGGAAGGTTGGCAGGATTATTAGTCTAGAGGGTCGCATGTATCCGGTGGATATGCTCTTCCTTGAGTCACCTGCAGAGGACTACGTCGAGCGGTCCGTCAAGACAGTCTTTGATATACACTTGCAAGAAGCAGAGGGGGACATCCTTGTGTTCTTGACCGGGCGAGAGGAGATTGACACAGCTATACAATTGATTTCAGAACGCGCTGCCACGCTTCATCCCAAAGCGCAATCGTTGCTCCCTCTCCCGCTGTACGCCGGCCTCACGACAGATCAGCAAATGTACGTGTTTGAGCCAGCGCCTGAAAACACTCGCAAGGTCATTGTGTCCACCAACATCGCCGAAGCATCCGTCACTATCAATGGGATTGTGTATGTGGTGGATTGTGGTTTCGCCAAATTGAGAGCTTACAACCCGACCACGGGCATCGAAACATTGACAGCGGTCCCGATTTCCAAAGCAGCGGCAGTCCAGCGTGCAGGTCGAGCTGGGCGCACCAAGCCAGGGAAGTGCTTCCGTCTCTACACCCAGCAGGCATATGAAGCCCTTCCAGAGGCGACTGTCCCGGAGATCCAGCGATCCAACCTGGCGCCGGTGATCATGCAGCTGAAAGCTCTTGGAATTGACAACATCGTCCGTTTTGACTTTCTAACATCTCCTCCCGCCGAATTGGTGATCCGTGCTTTTGAGCTCCTGTATTCTCTGGGCGCAGTCGACGATCATGCCAAACTCACCAAACCGCAGGGGATGCGCATGGCAGAGTTGGCCGTGGACCCCATGATGGCAAAGGTGCTCCTTTCCGCGACGGGCTTTGGCTGCCTAAGCGAGATTCTTTCTATCGCGGCAATGGTCAGTCTTCAGGGCACCGTTTGGGTCCAACACGACGGTGATCGAAAAACATCCGAGAGCATGCGGAGGAAATTCGCGGTTGAGGAAGGCGATCATTTGACGTATCTCAATGTCTACCAAGCCTTTGTCACCAAGGGCAAGAAGGACTCGAAGTGGTGTCGGGATAATCTCTTAAACTTTCGATCTATGCAACGCGCCGTGAGTATCCGCGCCCAATTGAAGCGATACCTGGAACGTTTTGGGATCCAGGTCGATGAGACGCTTTCTGCCCGCGCCAGACAGGAGGATTCAAGCAAGCTGCCGGAAAAGATACAACGATGTCTCACAACAGGCTATTTCGCACATGCTGCAAAGATGCAGCCGGACGGCACGTTCAAGACGGTGAGCGGCGGGTTAACGCTGCATGCTCATCCAAGTTCGCTGATGTTTGTGAGTCACACACACTTGCCACTGGATTAGGAATATTTTTGCTAATTGGTTATGCAGAATCGCAAAGCCGAATGGGTCATATTCCATGAAATACTACAGACGGGAGAAAAGACCTACATCCGCGATATAACCAAGATCGAAAAGGGCTATTTGCTCGAATATGCACCAAACTATTATCAAGTGCGGTAATAGATTCTCTTGCACAGATTCCTTGCTAAAGCATTTTTGTACAGTAGAGGATCCTTGGTAGTCTATGTTTCTATGATAGTATCCCATTATGCATGAAGTGAAATCTTGTCACTTGGGTGGAGGCATATTCCGACCTTTGTCAAGCCATAACAAGCAAGCGTAAGATCATTTAGTTTGGTAGATCATTGCTCACAGTTTGATATCTATCTTTAATAGCTAATATAGAAGTCAAATGAAGGAAAACATGATAAGTGTCTTGCTGGGCTTTTAACGAGAGTGAATTGTTGAGCTGATGTGAATGAATGGGTGACTTTAGCCGAACAATCAAAGGTCGCGTTGAACTCGCTGAACATCTTGCCTGTTTTCATAATCATCGTGCTTACCCAAGGTTCTCGGACCACGGCCTCTTACTCCATCTAGCTTCTAAAACCGATCTTGACTCGACCCTTCGTTTTCTGAAGCAACCACCAGGAGATTCGAGCGTCAAATTGCGACATGTCGGGCCATCACCATCATCACGGCCACGGCGGCGGACATTGCCATGACGAAGACGGTCACGACCACTCCAATGACATCACCCCAGCCATTCAATCGCTTCTTTACTCTCAGGTTCAGTTCGACTCTATCACAACACTCAACGGTGCGTATTATACCTGCGATGACAGAGATTGATCACTCTTAAAGAGATTGAATACTAACAAACAAGGCAGAGGCGACGCCCAAGTCCGGCGCTGCGATCGTTAAGAAAACATGGGCGGAGAGACTCAACGATGAGCCGGAGCTCGAAAGTGATGCCGATGAGCAGCTCCTGATGTACATTCCGTAAGTTCTGCCCTGGAGGATGTGTTCGCAGCCGGGGGAAAAACTGTCTTGCTTGTTGCTGGTGCTACCCCGCCATTGCCCCTCCTCGAGTTTTTGGGGTCGCGAACGAGCGCAGACCACTTCAACACGCTTCGATCCCAACTGTTTCCATCACTTTTGACAATTAACTAATACTTCCCGTAACATGATGCAGCTTTACCGGCCAAGTCAAAGTCCACTCTCTGCTGGTCTACACCGCGCCCACTCCCTCCGCCCCCAAGACGCTGAAACTGTTCAAGAACCGGGACGACATCGACTTCGCAACCGCGTCCGAGTTGTCGCCCACTCAGACGATCGAGATCCCCCAGCCGGTTGCCGGCGCCGATGTCTTTGAGATCCCCCTGAACCGCGCGCATTGGAATGCCACCACCTCCATCACCCTGTTCTTCGAGGATAACTGGAGCGATGGCGAGGAAGACGTGACCAAGGTCGGCTACGTGGGATTCAAGGGGACTTTCATGGCGCTGAATCGCGAGCCCGTTAACTTCCTGTACGAGGCCGCGGCCAATCCGAACGACCATGTCGCTATTCAGGGCGTCAGCGGTGTTGGCAGTAGAATCCTGTGAGCATGGTGATTAGCGCAGTTTGTGGCGCGGATGGATTGGCTTGTGTCCAGTCACCTTTGCTGTTGCTGTTGCTGTTGCTGTTGCCTGTGCCTGTTGATGCGGTGCCGTGGTGTCGTGTTGATTTGTGATCGTGATTTCTCTGGTTATGGAGCTGGACTCTATCCCCAATGCTAGTCTGAATTTCAGCTTATGCATGTTTGTAACATTGAACTAACTGGAGCTATCTAATGATATGATGGAATGTGATGATGACCCATTGACAAGAACCTAGAACTCCCAAAATGCTGAAACTTATATAGACAAAGGGATGAGTGATTTCATGCCAGGACAGCGGTTCGCTCTTCGGCCTTGACCTTTCGTCCATTGGATGATGGCTCGGCCTGCGCTTCTCCCGTCTCTGCTGCCTCCTCCTCTCCAACCTCTGGAAGCGACGAGATCGGCGCACTCGGCAATACCACTGGCCCTTGTGCCTGGCGCTGCAACTCCTCCAACTCCTCTTCGACCTCGTCTTCGTCCTCCCTGGACAGACGACCGGCAAGCATCTGACTGATCTCCTGTACCACCCCGCAAAAGTCGACAACATTAGCGTGCCGCACTAAGAAAAAGCCTCCCTCAACCATAGAATACTCAAGCTGGACTACACCTACCTCCTGATAAGCCCGCGCCTCCTCTGTTTCGCCCATCAGCTTCTCGACCCCCTCGATGCCGCCCATCTCCCGGTTGATGGTCTGCAGCACCTGCGTGCCCTGCTGCAGGCCGAAGAGCACGTCCTTCTGCACGAGCGCGAACTCGATCTGGCCCGTGAGCTGCTCCAGCTGCTCCAGCTGCTTGTCGGTTTTCTCCAGCAGCGACTCCTGGTACTTCTTGCGGCGCAGGGCAAGCAGGGCTCGCTTGCGGTCGTCCCGCGCCAGGCATGCCTTGGCGATCGCCGTCTCCCGGTCCGTCAGCACGGTGATCCGCTTCTGGTACTGGCGGAGCTTGTCGCGTTGGTTCTTGAGGTCGAGGATCGCTCTGTTGTACAGTACACAGTATCCGGTAAGCCTTATCGATCGCGGTGCGGGCGGAGGTGATAGTGTCCGGTTGGAGGTTCATTGAAGTACCACCCGGACTAGGAGACACAAGATGTGTTGGAGAGAGAAGGAAAATCTTACCGATCCTGAGCAGAGATCTTATGGGAGCTGTTTGCATTCCCCATTGTCAACGCATAGTGTCGTGCTGTTTGTTGAGGAGTCACTTCGGAGACTACTATGGAGGTACGATAACAGATGACGTCCACTGATATCCGGTTTGGGTATGGTCAAGGTGGGAGGGCGGTCAGACTGTTGCTCCAATTGAAGTGAGGTAATGACGGTAATGTGGTTACCGATCTTTAACTTTTGCCCATTTCCTCCGCCGGCCAAATTGATTCTCCGATCTCCAAAAATTGTAGAAGATCCCCACTGGGCAGCGATTGAAGCGTTTATCAGATCGGCTGGTTTTCTCGTGCATTGGCGCGCTTCGTTTCAACATCATTGGACGCACGAGGAAAGACGCTCTTTCTCGACTTGGGACACAATGGGTCGCGGGGGCAGGCCAAGCCTGAGACAGGGCTTGGATAAAGATGTAAGCAAAATGCAAATCTCCTCTATCGCTCAAAACAGCGATGTATACTATCAAATGCTAATCTGCGCTTCTGTTGGCTGGTAGGTCTATCAGATTGTGCGCAAAATCATCGACGAGCAGGCGGAGAATGGAGCTACGCGGATTTCTGTTTCGACGATATACGACGCGATCAAGCGATCGAACTCGAGTCTAAACCGCAAACCTAAGAGGATTCTCGAGGATAGCATCGAGCGTGTGGTGGAGGTGATCAAAGGCGATGAGGAGGAGGAGGATTCCGTCGAAGGGGACTTTGAGGGGCTGGAGGAGCCGGCAGCGCCGGTGAGTCACATGCGCGGAGGACGATATGTTCTGCTCTGCTTCCCAGAGGTATTGACGAGCGGGTGTAGGAGTCCAACAGTTTGAACAAGAGCCTCGTCGGCATGTGGAATACCAAGAACGGCGCAACGGACGCCCAGAAATCAGGCGAGACGAACAATACGACAGACAACACGGCCACCACGCCGGCTCCCAAATCGTCAACGAAAAAGCGACACCATGGCGGCGAATCTACCTCCTCCAAACGCCGCAAGGGCGACGCCGTCGTCGACCGCTCCCCGCCCACGCACGTCAGTCTCGCGGACTTGGGTGGTTTGGACGATGTGGTCGAGCAGCTCGGAGACCTGGTCATCCTGCCCATGACCCGCCCACAAGTCTACATGTCCTCTAACGTGCAGCCGCCGCGCGGCGTGCTGCTCCACGGTCCCCCCGGTTGCGGTAAGACGATGATCGCCAATGCCTTCGCCGCCGAGCTGGGGGTGCCCTTCATCTCCATCTCCGCGCCCTCCGTCATCTCGGGGATGTCCGGTGAGTCCGAGAAGGCGCTGCGCGAGTACTTCGAGGAAGCCCGGCGCATCGCGCCCTGCCTTATCTTCATCGACGAGATCGACGCCATCACGCCCAAGCGCGAAAGCGCGCAGCGCGAGATGGAGAAGCGCATCGTGGCGCAGCTTCTCACCTGCATGGACGACCTGGCGCTCGAGAAGACGGACGGCAAGCCCGTCATCGTGCTGGCCGCCACCAACCGGCCCGACAGCCTGGACGCCGCGCTCCGCCGCGGCGGCCGCTTCGACAAGGAGATCAACATGACGGTGCCGTCGGAGCCCGTGCGCGAGCAGATACTCCGCGCGCTGACCCGCAAGATGCGGCTGGCCGACGACCTCGACCTCAAGCTCCTGGCCAAACGCACCCCGGGTTTCGTGGGCGCCGATCTCAACGACCTGGTCGCCACGGCCGGCGCGGCCGCCATCAAGCGGTACCTCGAGATCCTGAAACAGAACAGCGGGCCCGAGGACGAGAAGATGATGGACATGGACATCGAGGATCTTCGCGTGACCGACGACGACCTCAGCCCCAAGGTCAAAGAGATCCGGCGGCTGATCATCCACGCCAAGGACACGCCCATCGGGGACGAGACGCAGACGGTCTTGGTGTCGAACGCGGACTTCTTCACGGCGCTGCCCAAGATCCAACCCTCGTCCAAACGCGAAGGCTTCGCGACGATCCCGGACACGACATGGGCGGACATCGGGGCGCTGGGCGGGATCCGCGACGAGCTGTCGACGGCGATCGTGGACCCGATCCGCCACCCGGAGATCTACGCCAACGTGGGCATCACGGCGCCGACGGGGGTGCTGCTGTGGGGACCGCCGGGGTGCGGTAAGACGCTCCTCGCGAAGGCGGTGGCCAACGAGTCGCGGGCCAACTTCATCAGCGTCAAGGGGCCCGAGCTCCTCAACAAGTTCGTGGGCGAGTCCGAGCGCGCGGTGCGCCAGGTGTTCGTGCGCGCGCGCTCCTCGGTCCCCTGCGTCATCTTCTTCGATGAGCTGGACGCCCTCGTCCCGCGCCGCGACGACACCCTCTCCGAGGCCTCCGCCCGCGTCGTGAACACCCTCCTCACCGAGCTCGACGGCCTCGGCTCCAGCCGCCAGGGCATCTATGTGATCGCCGCCACCAACCGGCCCGACATCATCGACCCCGCCATGCTGCGGCCCGGCCGCCTCGAGACGCTCCTGTTCGTCAACCTTCCCAGCCCCCTCGAGCGCGCCGACATCCTGCAGACCCTCGTCCGCAAACTGCCCATCGAGTTCGACGACAACCTCCGCCGCCTCGCCGAGGAGTGCGAGGGCTTCAGCGGTGCCGATCTCGGCAGTCTGCTGCGCCGCGCCGGCTACTCCGCCATCAAGCGGCGCGATACCATTAAGTTCGAGGACTTTGTCGCCGCCAAGGCGTTCATTCGGCCCAGTGTTACCGATCTGAAGAAGTATGAGCGCTTGAGGAGGGATTGGAGCGGTGGTGTTGTTTAGGTTGCGTTGCTGTTGCGGGATGAAGGTTACTGTACATAGATAGATAGACTGAGAGGCCGGAAGGTGTTTTCTTCCCTGGTAAAGATTTACCGGTTGTGGGTATGGTTCACTGTTCTATGGTTTTTTGTATAACTTGTAGTAGACCTCCAAGGCGGGCTCGATTGCGTGGTATGCATAGAGGGGAGGGGAGATTAGCCACGTACGGGGAGTTAGATTGGTTGGGGCCTCAGGCTGATACTAATTCACGTAGTAAACCAGTAGATGGCGCTACCTCTACTCTACATATGACCACGACGGTGAAGGAAACTTTTTGAATGGATATCGAAAGAGAGAGAACAACAAAATAATGTATATACACACACCGAGAACGCCCTTCTCATGTAGATATGACGAGAAACTGCAAACAGGAGATGATGGATAATAACAACACAGAAAGTATGCGCTGAGCTGAATCGAATCTACTACATCCACAAACGACACGTGCCGTCGGCACCGGCACTGACACACCATGCCTCGCGGGGGTGCCAGTCGATGTCCAGCACACCCAGCTCGCCGGTGATCTTGTGGCCCTTGAGGACCTTGAGCGGGACGATGCTGGCGTTGCTGAGCATGTCGCCCGTGACGCTGCCGTGGAAGATCTGGAGGGAGCCGTCGTCGCTGGCGTCGGCGAACAGCGGGTAGCGGCCGCTGGGGTGGAACTTGACGGCGCGGATGGCCTTGCGGTGGTACCGCAGGGTCTTGTAGGGCCGCTGCGAGAGTTCGAGATCGTGCCACAGGAGCCGGCGGTCGTAGGAGCCCACGATGAGGTTGTCGCCGCCGGAGGCCGTGGACGAGGTCGGGTGGATGTCGAAGGAGGAGATCCAGCGGGCTCCCGGCTGGACGATCTTGACCAGCAGCTGGCGCGAGAGATCGTACCCGCGCACGGTGCGCTGGTTGGCGACGAAGAGGATCGGCTTCGACGGGTGGAAGTGTGCCGTCTGCGGCGGGCCGCCGCCCTTGATGCGCCGGCTGAACGGGTATTGGGTGAGGTGCTTGGAGACCGTGTGGATGGCAACGGCCACGGAGGCAGGGGTGGAGGCGCCGGGGCATACGGTGACGAAGTAGTCTCCGCGGCGGTGCCAGGAGATGGACTTGGCCACGTAGCGGAGAGGGATGACCGCGCACACGCCGGAGTCGGTGAGGGCCGACGAAGGGCGGATCCACTGCGGGGGTGTCTTCTTGCCTTCCTCGGCGGCGCTGGGAGCAGGCTTCGAGGCGGCGTATCCCCATCCAGCATCGAGGAGTTCCAGACTGGCCTGCTCGAGCTCGGGGTCGAGAATGGAGGGCACCATGAGGTAGAGGTCGTCGCCCGCCGCGGCGGCCAGAACCACAGCATCCTTGCCGGGTCTCCAGCGAACGACGTTGACGGCATCCTCGTCACTCAGCTGAACGCTCCACAGCTGACGACCGGTGAGCAATTCCCAGACACGAACGGTACCGTCATCGCCAGCAGTCGCCAACCAGACGCCAGTAGGGTCGACCGCAATGGAGCGAACGCGGCCCTTGTGTCCTCGGAACACGGTAGCACACATCGACGGGAAGGGTTTGAGCTCCTCGGGGCTGGGAAGTTTCGGGAGAAGACTCTCGGGATCGATGTTGAGCTTGCTGCGCCGAACTCTGGGGGCCAAGTAAAGGTCCAAGCAACGCTCGAATTTCTCCTTGACAAACTCGCCATAACCAGGAACCTTGCGAAGAGAGCCAAAGTCGGTGGGGAGATACTCGCGCTCCCGGTCTTCGGGGTCCGCTTGCTCCCAGGTCTTGCGCTCCTTCTGGTCGGGCAGATACTCCGGAGGGGGGTGGTAACTCTCTTCATAGCCGGGCGGGGGAAGCTTGGGAGCGGGCACATGCATGATATGATCGGGCCGCTCCTCTTCGTCCGCCCACAGGTCATATTTGATGAGATCCTTGTCCTCCTCCTCTTGCTCTGATGGGGGCTTGTAAGGCAGGATACGACCTTCTCTGATGGCTTTGACGAGCTTCATGACACGCTTGGCCTCGTGCTTGGATGGCAGGAAGCGGCGCTTTGGTTCGGGAGCCGCGCTCAGGGGCATGACTTCCTTCTCCGTGGTGAACCATTCCATCAAGGGCTCGTAGGGGTTGTAGCCGTCCTCCGGAATCTCGTTCATCTGCACCTTACGCAGCAATTCCAGCTCGTCCTGGCTCAACTCCAGAGGCTTGCCCGTCGAAGGATCGGTGAGTCCAGTGAAACCCT